GCCGCAGCCGCCAGCAGCCCCCCAAGGTGAGCGCTGGGGTGGTAGGAGTGGGCACAGTGAGGCACTGCAGGGCAGAAGTGGCTGGAGTAGAACCAGGGCCAAACTGTGCCGATGCCCTGCCCAGCCGGACGTGGAGGAGGTGGTGCGGGACAGTGCCGGGCGCATGGTGACGTGGACGGGCTTGGGGTTTGCCCGGGTGCGGGACGGGGCTGGCCTGACCTTCCGTGTGGACAACGTGCCCTACCCCATGGACTACGAGCTGCTGCTGCGCTATGAGCCCGAGGTGAGCACAGACACAACCATGGCCACGGCATGTATGGCACAGCACAGCCCTGACGCTGCCTTACCTGTCGCCACAGTCAGCCGAGGACTGGGAGGCCGTGGTCAGTGTCAGCTCCCGTGTGCTGCCCACCAGCTCTCGCTGTGGGAACCTGCTGCCCTCCGAGCAGATGTACCGCCAGAGTCTGCCCCACAGCCAGAGGTGCAATGGGACGGGCTGGGGTGGGCTGGGGATGGGAACAAGGGAGGTGGTTGTGTTCTGCTGCTATCCTTTTGCAGTCTCCATGGCCCTGCTGTGTCCATGCCCCAACACCTGACTCTACAGGTATGTGCTGCTCCCCCGGCCCTTCTGCTTCGAGCCCAGTACCCCTTATGAGGTGACCATGCGGCTTCAGCGGGCCGGTGTCACCCAGCGCCACCCTGGTGCCTTCATCCTCATCGACTCGGTGAGGGGGGGTCACACTGCACCTTGCGTCTGAGGCTTGGCGGATCATGGGCAGGGATGGGAAACCACAGTGGGAAGTGTTCTCCCTCTGGGGATGTACGTGGGGTCAGAATGGGGATGGGGATAAGTTGGGATGAGATAGGGTGGGATGGAGATGGGGATGAGATGAAGATGGGGATGAGATGAGGATGGAGATGAATGGGAATGGGAATGGGAATGGGAATGGGAATGGGAATGGGAATGGGGAAGGAGAAGGAGAAGCAGATGATGGGGAAGGGCATAATGAGACTGGGGACTTAGATTTGGGGTTGGCATAGGAATGTCACAATGGAAGGGGATAAAGAAGCTTTTGGGGATGGCAGTTTATATGGGAATATCAATGGGGTTGGGGATGTCAGTAGAGCTGGGGCTATTGAGGGAGCTGGGGTAATTGACCACAGCAGCACTGGGACTGTCCTGGAGCACATGGGTCCAGCTTAGTGGTAGGTCCCACCGTGGAGGCTGGCTATGCCCCCCCAGCCCCATCTCCTCTTCTCTTCCCACAGCTGGTGCTCCTGCCACAGGTGTCAGAGTTACCAGGGTTCCATGGGGCAGAGGCAGCAGTGCGCCAGGAGGAGCTGGAGCGGTACCAGTGCCTGGAGGTGTTTCGCATGGCCCCCCCTCATCCCCTGGCCCAGGCCTGTGCCCGCCTGGTCTGCAGCGTCTCAGCCCTGATGCACGGCGGGGCACTGCGTGAGTGGGGAGCCTGCAGGGATGGGACCCATGAGTGGGCAGGTGTGGGGCCCTGCTCAGGCCAGTGGGTCAGTATATGCCTATGGCATGGTGGGCAGAAGAGCAGTGGCAGGGTGTGGGCAGCTGCGGGCAGCTACAGACCAGGCAGCCCTGGCCCCACACTGGTCCTGCTCCCGCAGCCTGCCAGTGCGACCCACAGGGCTCCCGCAGCAGCGAGTGCCAGGTACAGGGCGGGCAGTGTGAGTGCAAGCCCCACATCATCGGCCGACGCTGTGACCACTGTGCCCCAGGCAGCTACGGCTTTGGACCCCTGGGATGCAGCCGTAAGTAGTGGGATTTTCATCTGCCAGGAGTTGCTGTCTCTCCTGTCTGTGTGTCCAGCCATTAGCACCTCCTTCATTGCCCTGTTCACTTGTCTGTCTGTTCATTTGTCTGTGCATGTGTCCATCTCAGCCCTGCTGTCATGCAGCCCATGGGTTCAGTCACAGTTAGGCATCCATCCATCCATCCATCCATCCATCCATCCATCCATCCATCCATCCACCCACATGAGCCTCCTGTGAGCATTGTGCTGTCCTGCACTCACTCCTCTGTTTGTCCACTCATTTCCTTGTGGACCTGTGTGTCCACATGAGCCCTTCTCTGCCACAGCCCATGGAGTGAGCATATTCTGGGTGCAGGTTCCCTGCCTGTCTGTCTGTCTGTCCATCCCTGTGTCCATGTGCCTGACCTGAGTTGTGCCATCCTACAGCCTGCACCTGCTCCCCAGAGGGCTCAGTGTCCCAGCTGTGCGACCAGGTGAGCGGGCAGTGCCGGTGCCAGCCTGGCACCGTGGGCCGGCAGTGTGACCAGTGCCAGCCCAGCCACTGGGGCTTCCCTGCCTGCTGGCCCTGCCAGTGCAATGGGCACGCTGAGGAGTGCGACCCCCGGACGGGCACCTGTCTGCACTGCCGCGACCATACGAGCGGACGGCATTGTGAGAGGTGAGCCAGCTCCAGGAGGAGGGGATGGCGTGGCATGGCGTGGCATGGTGTAGGATGAGATAGGATGGTATGAGAGATGTTGGAATGGTGGGATGGGTTGAGGTGTGGTGGCATGGATATGATGGGATGGGGTAGAATAGGATGGGATGGCATGGTATAGGATGCGATAAGTATAATTGGATGGGATGGAATGGGATGGGATGGGATGGGATGGAAAAAATTGGTTAGGATAGGGTGAGATATGATGGTATGGGATACAATGGAATGGGATAGGATGGTGGGATGGTATATGATGGATGGGAAGGACCCATTGGGATTGTTGTCCTTTCAGGTGCCAGGATGGTTACTATGGGAACCCTGTGCTGGGCTCGGGGCAGCAGTGCCGGCCCTGCCCCTGCCCCGGCTACCCTGGCACACGGAATTACCATGGGAACGCCTGCCATGCCGATGCTGAGACACACCACATCGTCTGCCTCTGTGCCCCTGGATATGCAGGTGAGGGGCAGAGTGGGCACAGTGCAGCAGGACCCCCCCCTGCACTGGGGCTGGGGGACACCAGCACCTATAGCTGCCCTCTCTGCAGGGCCCCGCTGCGACCGCTGCTCCCCTGGTTACTTTGGGTCTCCGGAGATGGAGGGGGGGGAGTGCCGGCCCTGCCAGTGCAACAACAACATCGACGCCAGCGACCCAGAGGGCTGCGACCCCCGCACGGGCCAGTGCCTGCGCTGCCTGTACCACACTGCTGGGCCACGCTGTGCCCAGTGTCAGCCTGGCTACTACGGCAATGCCCTGCAGCGCAGCTGCCGGCGTGAGCGGGGCGGGGGACTCTGTGGGGCTGGGGCTGCACGGGGGTTTGGGATGCGGGGTTTGAAGTGAGCCTAGGGCTCAGGGTAGGGATGAGGTGTGGGGCTGTGGTTGGTTGTGGGGTGATTTGGGTTGGGTTGAGGAGAATTTTGGGGCGTTGTGGGGCTAGGGTTCAGCCAGGAGAGATTTGGGGCTGTTAGAAGGGGCATGGGGCTGTGCCTGTGTTGGGGCTGGGCAGGGAACAGGGGTCAGGGTTGGTCAGGGGTGTTTCGGCTGTGCAGGTGTTTGAGGCCAGGCAGACTGGGGGGCACTGGGGTCAGGCAGATTTGGGGTGCTGGGACCAGCAGCACACTGCCTGGGCGGTGGGTATGGGCTGAGCCCTACGTGGCCACCCACCCTCCTGCAGGATGTGTCTGTGACCCACGGGGTACACTGGCCTCCCACTGCACCGATGGCACCTGCGATTGTGACCGTGGCACGGGAGCCTGTGCCTGCCGCCCCAACGTCGTGGGCAAGAGTTGTGATCGCTGTGCACCCCACTTCTGGAGGCTGGGGGGCCCAGGGGGCTGTGAGCCCTGTGGCTGCCACCCCACACATGCCCTGCACCCTGCCTGTGACACAGTGAGTCCCCTGGCACCCTGGTATCGCTTCTGTGCCCTCCTGGGGCCCAGTGAGCTGCACAGTGAGCATGGCACTGTTGCTGCAGGTGACAGGGCAGTGCCAGTGCCGGCCTGGCTTCGGGGGTCGTGTCTGTTCCCAGTGCCAGGAGCACCACTGGGGAGACCCCGAGCAGGAGTGCCGAGGTGGGAGCACATCCCAGGGACTGGGGGAGCAGGGGCTCTGGGATGCGTGGGACTCTGGGTGCATGGTGAGACTCTAGGGAAATGGGGACATGGTGGGAGACTCTGAACATGGGACGCTAAGGAGACAGTGAGACACTGGGGATACAGGGGACTCAGGAGATCTTGGGAATGTGGTGGGACACTGTGGGCATGGCAGACCTTGGGGAAACAGTGGGATGTTGGGGACGTGGTGGAACATTGAGGACATGGTGTGTGTCTGGGGATGTGCAGGACTCAAGGGACCCAAAGTACTTGGTGGAACTGTGGGGACTAGAAGATGCTGGGGATAGATTGGATTCTGGAGACACAGGAGAATATGGTGGGATACTGGGATATGGTGGCAGTCTGGGGGCATGGGGCTCCATGGGAAGGCTGGGACACACTGCCAACTGTCTCTGCAGCCTGTGAGTGTGAGCCGCTGGGTGCTGAGAGCCCACAGTGCGAGCAGGACAACGGGCAGTGCCGGTGCCGCCTGGGATTCGGGGGGCTGCGCTGTGACCGCTGCCAGCGGGGCTACCAGGAGCCCTTTCCCCACTGCTCTCCCTGCCACCCTTGCTTTGGGCGCTGGGACCTGGCCGTGGGCAGCCTGCAGGAAGGACTGCAGCGCCTTGGGGCACAGGTGCAGGCCCTGAGGGAGGGGAGTTCCACACTCCCACTCAGCCCCCGTCGCCTGCGGGAACTGGAGGAGGCTCTGGGGCACGTGGAACGGCTGCTGGGAGAGGGGGACAGCCCTGGTGGTCCCCTCCTCGATGGACTGCCCAGGCAGCTGGGTGGCACCAGGCAAGTGTGCATGTAGGGCTGGGGTGGAGGGACCCCCTCTTGTCCCCTCTGAAAGTTTGAAGCCCCCCTCCCTACCCAAAGGATGGAGCTGGACAACTTCTGGAAGCACCTCCAAGAGTTGGAGCAGCATCTAGATCAGCTGGTGCAGACGGATATGCAGCACCATGACCGGCTAGCTGAGCTGAGCCGTGAGCTGGGAGGTCTCAACCGAACCACCTCCCACCTTCAGATCCTCCTCAGCACTGTAGCAGCAGCTGGGTTCAGCGGTAAGAGCAACCAGCAAAGTCTGGGTTTGGTGGCAGCCATCCTGGGCAAACCCTGACACCTGCACCCGCAGAGTCTTACCGCAGCATCCTGGCATCGATGGAGACCTCGCGGCAGGCAGAGGTGGTGGCCAATGGCACAGCTGGCGAGCTAAGTAGGGCACAGATGACACAGAGGGCAACAGAGCGTGCTTTGCGGCAGCGGGGCGATACTTTCCGCCGTGGCACAGCCGCAGCCCGGAAATCCTTGCGGGAGACACAGAAACGGGTGATGGGACTCAGCATTACCAGGATCAATGAGAAGGTAAGAGCAGGACTGGCAGAAGGGGTGCAGCTGTCACCCCCCATGTAGTGCTGAGCTGCCATTTCCACCATTGGAAATCATCACAGATTTGTGGGGCACCCGGAGACCGGAGCTGCAAGCACGCATCTTGCGGAGGAGCCTTGTGCCGAGACAGTGCGGGGACAAGGCACTGCGGTGGCACTGGGTGTGCAGGGGTACTGCCTATCTCAGCTCGAGCCCTGAGCAGTGCTCACAATGCCTCACAGCAGCTGGAGGTGGCATTAGGGCAGCTGGGTGTTGTGACACAGAAGGTAGGAGTGATTGCTCTGTGGCACATTCTGGGGTTCCCTTGTGTCACCTTTGAATGTCCTGTTTGTGCCCTTTCCATGCCACTTTTCATGACCCCCTTCAATGTCCTGATTTTTCCCTTTCCATGCCCCCAAGTATGTCAATTCTGCATGCATCTCTTATGCCCATTCAGAGATGCCCTTTGTGCCACCTGTGTGGACCCTTGGGCCATTGCTATACTCTCTGGCCCCTGGTACCCCCCCTTGCACGCTCCTTTGCAGGCTTACATCTTGTCCCCTCGTACCCCCTGCTCACCCCAAAAGCCCCTGCCCGGGGCTGCCCTGTGCCCCCTGCTCAGCCAGGTGCCCCTCAGATGCAGGAGGTGCAGGAGCTGGCACGGGGGGCACGCAGCTGGGCAGAGGAGGCACTGGGGCGCTCTCAGGCCGCTCGCAGCCATGCAGAGAAGGCAACGGCCCAGCTGAGGGACTTTATCCGCCGAATCAAGGCCTTCCTGGCAGGTAGTGCCAGCACTGGGTGGGCACATGGGCATGGCAGGACCCAGCAAGTCCATCCTGAACCCACCCTGTTCCCCTGTCCCTGCAGAGGAGGGAGCTGACCCAGGCAGCATTGAGCTGGTGGCCCGGCAGGTGCTGAACATCTCCCTGCCCAGCAGCCCCGGACAGATCCAGGAGCTGCTCTTGGAGATGCAGGAGAGCATTGGCCAGCTGGAGGGGGTGGACACAGTTCTCAACAGCACAGCGGAGGGGCTGGCTGTGGCACGGGATCTGCTGGCACAGGGACAGGAAGCCAGGCAAGTGGTGGGGGCATGCTGGCAGGGGCAGGCAGGTGATAGGGTCAGTCCCCCTGCACTGGCAGGGGCTGGAGCTGCCTGTGCTGCTGCAGGGAGCGAGCAGAAGGCGTAAGGGATGAGCTGGCGGGGACGCAGCAGGCACTGGAGGTGGCACGGACACAAGTGAGGACAGCGGGGAGCACCCTGCAGAGCGCCAGGGATGCCATCCAGGTGGCTGAGAACAGAGCCAGGGAGGTGAGGAGCATGGGCTGGGGGAGTGGAGCTGGTACCTCTGGGAGTAATGGGATCAGTGCTGTGGAGAGTGAGACTGAGGCCTTGGTCACATTATGGGCAAGGAGGCTTGCACTGGGGAAATGTGGTTGGCACTGGGCAGGTGTCAGGGCAGTGGGGCTGGCACCATGGGCATGGTGGTGTTGTGCCTGCTGCAGCCTGTGTCCACACCTGCCAGGCGGAGCGCAGGCTGCGGGTGCTGGACAGGAAAGAGTTGCAGGCGCAGAGGCGGCTGCGGGAGCTGGCACAGCGCATCACAGCCCTGCAGGAGCACAGCCGGGATGCTCGCCACATGGCTCAGCAAGCCAAGGACGGGGCACAGCGTGCCACCACCACCTCGGGGACACTTAGCCAGGTGAGCTCCATCCCTACCTGGTTATGCGTGGCACCAAGCAGGTACTGGGTGCTGCGGATGCTCAGCCTCACCGTGTCCTTGTGCTGCCAGGACCTGGCACAGGTAACACAGCGTTACGTGGTGTTGAAGAACCGGGTGGGTATGCTGGACAGAGTGTCTGGTGGGGCCCTGCAGCGCCTGTCACAGCTGATGGCAGAGGCCCAAGACCTCCTGGATAAAGCCAGCAACAGCAAGAGGAAGCTGGAAGGTGAGGGGGAGCACATGGTGGTACATTTTCTGCCACCTCCCCATACATCTCCCTGTGTCCCCCTGGGCCCGCCCCACCGGGCGTCCCGATGGTGATACGGGACGTGGTGAGAGGCTGCCCTGTGACCGTGTTGCCCGTCCCACAGACCTGGAGCAGCGCTTTGGGGCCAATGAAAGGACGATGGCGGCAAAGGTGACACGACTCCAAGCTTTGGAGCAGCAAGTCACCGGGCTGTTGCTGGACATCCGGGAGAGGGCCAACGCTTACGCCACTTGCTAGGGACCACTGGCGGGACCGGGGGCCGGTCCT